TGGCCTAACTGGGTAAATTTTTTAATTAAATTTACATTTAAGCTGATTATAATTAAAAAAAATATTTTAAGTCCTCCCGGCGATCCAGGCATTACTGGCCAGGATGGATTAGAAGGTGAAACAGGCAAGCTTCAAACTGTTTTTCAAATAATTACATTTTTGTTTTAAGTTGCTAAATTAAATGCAAGTAGAGGATTGCCTGGAGATGTAGGTGTGTGTGTTTTTGAAAATATATTTTGGATTTCTTAAACTTTAAATTTTATTAAGGATCGCCAGGCCCAGTCGGACAAATAGGTTTGCAAGGACCTAAAGGTTTCCCCGGTATTCAAGGGCCGCCTGGAAAGGTAAATATTTTATATTTTTATATTTAAAAATATTTATTTTTAAAGAAAGGTCCAATAGGCGAGCCAGGCACAGATGGCCATTATTGTTCTTGCAATTCTTGGAGGAAAAAAGTAAATGATTTAAAATTTGAATTAATAAAGACTAAACAAATTTAATTATTCGGGGAATTTTTTTATCTTCTTTAAATTTTTAAAAATTATTTTAATTTCTTTTTCAGATTTCTCAAAACTCTAAAGAGACAATAAATAATTATAATGAAAGTGAAGCAAAGTCATTGACTTCATTTCTCAACATTAATAATTTTAACAACAAAAAAGCTTTTTTAAGAGCACTTCTTAGAAGAAGAGCATTTCTTCGACGAAGGCTTTTAAGGAGATTTCAGAGAAAGGTAAGGGAGGGGGGGAGGAGTATTATATTTTTTAATTAGCGCATTAAATTTAAATAATATTTTTTAATAAAATGCGCTAATTAAAAAATATTTTTATAAAATATTTATTATTTTTATTCACTTAAAACATTGGCTCATATGGCGCCAACTGTTGTTTTAATGAATTTATTTTATTTGTGGTTTTTAATTAATTCTCCTTTTTTTCTATTTATTTTCAAAATTAGGTTTTAAAAAATAAAATTTATTCTACTATGATTTTGGAAATGTTTTTAGAAAAATATTCTATCTATAGAATTTGGGTAATAAATTAGAGATTTTGTAGCATTATTTTTTAAATTATTTCTATTACTTTTTACAAATAATAAGTACCTTAACAAAATTATTAATTCTTCATTACCCCCCCCCCTCCCTCTTCGTAAAAATTTAAAAAATCATTGTTCCAGAAATAATACCACAGAATTTTTTGATTTTTATAACTAACCCAACTTACAAAAATTCTTTTTTTAAGTAAAAAACGCTACATTAAAAATTTATTTTCAACAAAAATTATTTAATTTTACCTCAAAAATGTTCTTTGATTTTTTAATTTTTTTTAGATTTTTAAGAATATATATATTTTATTTCTTTTATTTTTTACTTCCTAATTGCCTTCATTAAATCTTTTTTTTATTATTAAGCTATTTAATTCTTTTAACGATCACACACACACAATTTTTTTTCCTTTTAGCGAAAAAACGAAAAAAAAAGTTTATTTTAAGTTGTTTATTTTTATATTTTTTTCTCCCAAATTAGGCTAATTTATTGACAAAAATTAATATTTTTAAATATTCTCTGAAATTATTTTTAGTTTAATTTTAAAATTCTTTTTTCTAAAAATATTTATTTTATTTTTTATTGGCCTATATTCTTTTAATTTTTTGCGCTTTTTTTATTGGCAAAAAATTCTTTTGCGAAAGCATTTATTTTGCGTCATACTCCTAAAGGGGGAATGAGGAAATAACGTTCAAAGAACATTAAAAGAATTATTTAATGTTTGCCTTAAAATAAATAAATTTTATTTATTTTTATTTATTTTTCTTTTAAATTTATCTCTTTTTTACTGTTAAAAACTCATTCTTTCCCTATGCCCATTAAAATAACTGAACAAAAAAAATTAGGACAACAAAAAATATTTTTATTTATTTAGCTTTTTTAACAAAGAAAATTTAATCATTATTTTTGTCTAGTTTTTTTTAAAAGTATTTCCTGTATTTTTTTAGTAAAAAAGAAACATTTTTCTCTTTGAAAAATGAGAAGAAAAAAGGAATTATTGTAGTTTTGGAAAGGAAATTGGGGAAAAACAAAAACAAATATGGGGGGAATCGAAGAATATTTTACGTAAAGGTTTTGATAATATTGTTAAAAATAATTATAACTTGAAGTAACGTAAAAAGAAAGCAAAAAAGAATTAAGGATATAGAGAAGAGTTGGGGGAATTGGGGGAAGAGAAAGGTTTTTAGACTTTTAATCGGATGTTAAAAAATATTGGACATAAACTTTAACTTTACCGAACGGAGAAGCTTTGTAAAGAATGGGAAAATATTGGATATAAGTTTTCAAGGAACAGGGAAAAGACGAGAAAAAAGGGGGGACGAGAAAAACAAATTTACATAAATAATTCTCATTAGTTTTTTCATTTTATTTTCCATTTCCAACATTAGAGACCTGTCAAAAAAGCGTAATTACGACAAAGAATCATTCTTCTTTTTCATTTCATTTTCTGTCAAAATAAGTGCCATTTTCAACATCCCTTTTACGGAGTGACAATTTATAAAAATTAAAAATATTGTTAAATGTGTAATGAATGATTATTATTTAAATTTGTTTTTAATTAAAAATTTTTATTTTCAGACTTCCAATTTACTTTTGGCTTTTTCTGAGGGATGTCCCCATTTTTTTGAATTTTAACTAATATGTATTTATTTTTAAAATAATAGTACAAACATTTTTGACATTTTTCAGTCAACCTATTTAGTATTGGATAAAAAGAAGGGGGGAGGGGAGGGAGGGGGATGTTGGTGTCATCAATTGACAAATGGCCGTTGATGAAAGTGTTGAGTAGTAAAAAAATTCTTCAAGTAAAAATGCCACTAACGATGCCTTCCTCATTTTAACCCATGGGGCAATTTTGCACGTTATTTTCCTCGTTTTTCTTATTTTTTAGAAAAAATATCCCCCCTCACACTACCCCCATTAACTACATATACACTACATCAATTGCCCTTTTGCTCTTATTTATGCCGCCAGAAATAAAAGAATAAAAAAAAGAAGCTATCGCTAATTGGGGCCACCCCCTCCAGCATTTGCCAGCTTTTCCTTTTTTTGCTTTTGCTGCCAGCCGCTAGTGGCTCTCGGCCTTTTCACTTCTAACACATACATTCACCACCACCAGCACTTCATCCCTTCCACTTGTTAATTGTCTCTCTCCCTCAGCCCTCTCATGGACAATTTACAAACACACAATTGTTAATGTATTATTTATATGTATAAATTTTCTCTTTTCATTTTCTTGTCTATCAGCCATTTTAATTCTTCCAACTTTTCTTATTCTTTTTTCTCTTTCTCGACTGGTCTCGACCTTATTTCTTGCCAACCGCCTTCTCTTCCACTGACGATTTTTTTCTTTTCACAACTAGGACCACTCTTCTTTTTTTATTCTTCTTCCCTTTCCCTTAACATTTCTCAATCGATGGTCCCCCGTGAACGCAATTCGACTCTACATTGTCTGTTGGAGTTTTGGGGTGGCTGGTAGCAGCCATGGAGAAGAGTGAAGAAATGAAAGCAAAGAAGCGGCTGCCCATTTCGCAGCGTTGTTCTTCTTCCTTTTCTTTTACTTCCACTTTCTTTTTCCTCAATCACAACCTTTTTCTTCTTTTTTTTTATTCAAAGCTTCTAACACATCCCCCCCCATACCCCCAAAACTTCTTCCAATACTTCCCCCCACAATTTCTTTCCAACCTCAACATTAGCTTTCTCTCTCTCTCCAATCTCGCCTACCCCCTACTCCCATCCTCCTCCCTCCCCTTCCCTCTATTTTCTATTCATTCACACTTGGGGCAGTCTTTGTCCGTCTGAGGTTTTTGGGCCTTGGTTGTGGGCCTTTACTGCCCACACCCACCACAATAACTGCTATCTATGTATATAATGTCTTCTTTTCATTTTATTTGTGCGCGTGTCCTTTTTCTTTCGTTTTTTCGGCTGTCCCTTAATTCTACTTGCACTTAATCATATTTTATTTGAATTTATTAAGATATCCTTCTTTTGATTTTATTTTTTAAATTAAAATAATTTTTTATTTTGAATTATTTTAATTATTTTTTAAACTTTGAATTCCTGCTTCTTTCTTTTATTTAACATTAATATTCATTCAAATAATATTTTTGATTATCTAACCTCTTTTTTGTTGGAATTATTCATTTTCTGTTTTTGGGAAAATAAAAATTATTATTTTTTGATAAATAATAAGTCGCCCTTACACAAACTTTTGTATGTTGAAAAAATTTTAAAAATATTTATTTGAAAATGGATTTCGATATTATTCGAGGACCCTGCTTCTTATAAAAATATTATTTTAATTTCTCACGTGCCCGGAAGTTGCGGTCAACAGACAAACATTTATGTAGACTTGTGGGTGGCGTTGAAATGGGGGAAAGGATAATTAATTAGTTAATTAAAAAATTATTTCCGGAGATTTTTCCTCATTTAATATTAATATTAATGATTGCAAAATAATATTTTAGCAGTCTTGTCAATAAAATTTTTTAATTTATACATAAAAATGGCTGGAAAACATTTAAATTGAAAATTTTTAAATTTAATACGTTAATATGTATTTTTCTTTGTGTTTTTTTTGTTTTCCTCAAAAACCTGTATACTAAATGCGAATATTTAATGATAAAAAGAACTCACAATCAGAAAACTCTTGTAAAAATAATTTTTTCAGTTTTGTTTGTAAAATAATTGAATAAACTAATTTTTGATCATCAACGGATTTTTTCTTAAAAATTTAATTTCTTTTTATTTATTATTTTAATTACTTTTTTTCTTTTTATTATTTAATTTATAATCTTTTTTAAATTTATTCTTTTATTTAATTTCTTCTTTTTTTTATTTAAAATTTTCAGGTGCTGACCGTTCCGCTAAATTCCTAGTAAAAATAGTTCAAGAAACAGCGGCGGCAATAAATAAATTGGGGACCAAAAAACAAAAAATTAAAATTAAAACACAACGCCAATAAATTTCTTTTATTGTTTTTATTGCTGCCAGTCATTTAATTATTTTCTTTTTATTATCTTGTTTCATCAATTTAAAAACAACAACAAAAAACAAAATGGAAAAAAGAATTTATTTATTTTCTTCATTTTAACAATTAATTAATTGGAATTTTAATTTTTAACTCTTTCTTTGCCTTTGCGCTTCTTTTAAATGCGTTGGAGTTGTTGTGCCTCATCCCATTCTATTTCTTCTTCTTGTTCTTCCTCTTCCGCTTCACTAAGTTCACAGGAAGATGAAAATTCGAGACAACATAGCCCGTAAGTAGGGAAGGAATAAAAATAAATATTTAATAAAATAATTGGAGAGAATTTACTATTTACCATATAACCTGTTTTAATTGCCCTCCCTTAAATAATTACCCCCTCCAGCGAACATTGAAATAATAATTACCCCCCCCCCCCCATCAAATCCCTAAAACACGTTCAAATTTTAAACCTCATATAATAACCCTCTCTCATTTAATTACTCACTCCAGTGGATAGTCGAAACAATAATAATTATTTAAAGTTTTATGGTGAATGTTTTTGAGGGTTTATTTGCCCCTTCTTGAAGATTAAATCTATGGACTTGTTAAACTATTTACATAACTAATTCTCGGTTAACGTTTGAATAAAAGAAAATATAAATTAAAAAAATATTTTTGTACTTTCAACTTTTATTTTCAACGAAACCTTAAAAGTTTATTTTTATGTTTTAAAGTAAATTGAACAAAAAAATAAAGAAAAACTTTTTTTGTTTTTCTTTTAACAAATAAATTTATTTCTTTATAAAATCCATTAAAAAACTTTTAAAATATTTAAACTTCCTTATAAAAAATAGAAATGCGTCACCTAGCAATTTAATTGCTTTGAAAGCTGTGGCCAACGGTGGAAAACGTCGTCATCATAAGAAAAAGAAAAAGGGGAACAAAGGGGAAAATAATGATGGACTTGGGACTAAATTGCGGACATTGTCTGAATCTTCTTCAACAAACACTTTTTCACCTGTAAATTATTATTTTTATATGTAAACATAAAATTTGTTTAAATAATGTTTAACTCCCAGTAATAACTTCTTCTTGGTCCAATACTTTTTGTGAAACCCTTTAATGAGTCAATAAAATAATTTTAAATATTTTTATAAAATCACAAAAATTACAATTTTTCCTTTTCATTAATTAAAAAATAAAATAGGCCGTTAAACCCACCGATAGCATAATCAGAAGACAGCCAGAAGGTATTCTCAAGGGTACTCATCAAAGGATTGGTCGGCCGCCCGGTCGTGCCGTTCAATATGCAGAGGGCACAAATTCAGGAATTGACACAGCTGAAGGGCAACCAATGCTTTCATCACAAGGAACGGTAAAGGAAAAATAAAATTTTAAAAGAATTAAACAAATAAAAGGTTTTATAAGGGTACCCATTATTTATCCGATTAATTATTAATGTAAATATTTAATTTTCAATTTAAATACCTGACATTATCTTCCTTTATTTTTTAAATTTATTTTTAATTTTTCCAAAAAAAGATCGACCCAGCTTCCTCCCCAACTTGTTCATCCCCTTCTTCACCTCCAACATCTTTCTCGTCTAATGGCGATCCTTCGTCGTTTATGGCCAGACGCGCATCTGCCACCCAAATGGAACAATACGGGCCTATGTTGTTGAGACATTGCAAAAGGGTAAAAAAAAGAGAAAAATTGTTTTTGATTTAAACTTTTATTTAAAGGCTTTATTGGTGCTTAATTCTTTTTCTACTTCTACTGGAAATATATTTAACAACAAACCGACATGTTCCTCAAATTCTATTAATGATTGCCCTTTATTTTGTAATTTAAGGAAAGCTGGGTGGGAAATAGAGGTAAATGAATATATAAAATAATTTTAAAAGATTAAAATTAAAGAAAATTTATTTTTCTTTTAGTCAAATAAATTTAAAATTAATTTTATTTTAATAAAAACAATTAAAAGATCTGTACTTCACAATCAGCTTTAGACGAAGTTCGTACTCGAAGACCTGTAATTATTTTATTGGATGGAATTACTCATTGTGGTAGTAGACGAAGAGAATATTTTGCTAATGAATTGTTTAGGTGGGGGGTTTTGTGTATTGAATAATTTCATTAAAATTAGAGTTTCGAAAACTAATAACCTCAGAAATTGAAAAAAAACTGAAAATTAAAAAAATAATCGGCGTCGATTATTTTCGACAGTTCTCGTTGCAAACACTAAATCTTTTGTCTTCAATTTTTAATTAAAAATTTGAATCCAAAAGGTTTAGGGTTTGTAAGGGGAACTGATGTGGAGAATCCGGCAACGATTATTTGGCGTTAAACAATTTTGGATGCTACGAATTAAAAATTATATTAGTATGTATATTTTAATGTTACATTGCACATAATCTCATTTAAAATTTTAAAAAATAATTAAAAAAATATTTTTTTAGATTATTAAAAGAAGCACTTGTAGAACAATCAAAACAATTACTAACAACAGATGTGGAAGATGTTCTTTTTGTTTGGTTATTTGATAAATTACCTAATGAGAGGAGATTGCGGCATATGTCCAAACAAAGTGTTGTTACTAATGTAAGGAAACATGAAAATATTTTTTTTAATTTAAAAAATTATTTTCTAGAATATAGGGTTTTCGGTTCAGGACTGAACCGAATAACCGAGGATTTTTCGGTTCGGTTACGGATATCCGAAGATTTTTCAGGAACCGACAACCCTACCAAAATATATTTAATTCTAATTAATTAAAATATTTCAAAATACTTAATATCCATTTACATTTCCCGTATTTCTTCGATTTATTCTCTAAACAAAGCCATTTATTCCTTAATTTCATATAGGAATTTAACTAACTAAAAAATATTTCTTTTTAAATTTTAAACTTTTATTTAAATATTTAACCTTTAAGTTTTTACGATTTTAATTTTATTTTTTCTATCAACTTTTTTTGATTGTTAAAATATGTTAAGTTTTTATTATTTACATGTGGTTTTTTGTCTGGACACATTCCTTTAAAAATTTTTTTTTATTTTTTTAAATATTAAAATGGTTGATTATATGTATTTATCTAATTTTTGATTTTTTTAGAATTATTTTTATTTTTCTTTAACAAAATTCGGATATTTTATTTATTTTTAAATTTTAATTTTGCCTAATTTTATATATTTTTATAAAATTAATTTTTTTAATTTTAATCTTTTCCCAAATCATTGAAGTTTATAGTTTAAATTTTTTTGCTATTATTTAATACTTTAATTATTTTTATATTTTATTTTATTAAAAACAATTGAACAAATATTATTTTATATTTATATATTTTCACTTTTTAAATTGTTTCTTTCTCTTTTCTCATTCCCAAAAAATCTTTTTTTTTCTTCGAATTTTTATTTTCATTTGGGTGCAACTCCATCCCCCCAATCTCTCAATGCGTCAGCGCATTTTGGCGAAAAAACGTTTAGTATGTGTGAGAGAGTAAATGAAAAAAAGAGGAGAGGAGGGGGGTGATTTGGCTATATTTTGCAGGTGTTTATCAAAGTTTAAATAATAATTCTCATAAAAGAAAAATAAAATAAATATTTTTTATGGTTTATATTTTGCGAATTTTTGTAAAAAAACTAAAAAAAATTTATTTTTATTTTTGATTTCACTAGAAATTATTCTTTGATAATTATTTTTTTGAATAATTGTCAGTTTTTGATCTTTATTTTTGGATTATTTTATACCAGGGTTGCCAGATGTACTTATTTTGGAAGTACTGTACTTACAAATCGACCTTCGTACTTACGAAATTGAAAATGTACTTATTTGTAAGTACGTACTTACAAATAGACTTTTTGGTTAAAAAATTGAATTTAACCTTAAAATTCTCAAAATTTTCGCCTGCGGCGCAAAAAATTAAAGAAATTTGGCTTAAGGAACTCTAAAATTCTCAAATTTTTCGCCTGCGGCGCAAAAAATGGAAGAAATCTGGCTTAAGGACCTCCAAAATTCTCAAAATTTTCGCCTGCGGCGCAAAAAATTAAAGAAATCTGGCTTAAGGACCACCAAAATTCTCAAAATTTTCGCCTGCGGCGCTGAAAATGGAGGGAATTTGTCTTATAGCCCTACAAAATTCTCAAAAATTTTTGCCTGCGGCGCAGAGAATGAAGAAATCTGTCTTATGACCTACCAGAATTTCCAAAATTTTTTCCTTTGGCGCTTATAAAACTCATTTGGATAAGAATATAAAATATTTGAGCTAAAATAAATTTTTTAGATTGTATTTTTGGAGCGTACTTATATTTTAAAATTTTTTCACCCTATGTACTTCCAAATTGAACTTTTTGTACTTACAATTAACATTTTCCAGATGGCAGCCCTGTTTTATACTAAAAATTTTTTAAACTTTGTGGAGAAATTTTTTAATTTTGGGGATTTTTACTTTTGTGGTACGAAAGTACGAGATGAATTTTGGCCTCGTCCTTCGTACTCGTATTTCGTACCAGTCTATTTTTTGTACTCGTATTTCGAACCTAAGTACGAATACGAGTACGAATTTAGGTACGAGCTTATAAACACTGGTGGAGAATTGATTCTCAGTTAAAAAATTAATTTAATTAATTTTTCTATTTAACCTTTAATAATTTTTAAAAATTTTCTTAAAAAATTTTTTCTCCCTCATTTATTTTAATTTTTGTGCTTTCATTTTGTATGTAAAAAAGAAGATTTTTTTGTACATATTTTCTAAATAAATTATTTAAATATATTTTTGTGCAAATTTTTTTAAAATATTTAAATCTTTTATTCTCTTCTAATCTTTTTTTCTATATTTAAAAATCCCCTTTTCACGGGGATTATTCTCTCAAATAAATTAATATCAATGTTGGCAATTTCTGCTACATTTGTAAATTATTTTAATTTATTTTGAGAAAAATATTTATTTTTTTTAATAAAAATACAAAATTTTCCAATTAAATTTAATTAATTTATTAATTATACTATATCTGGTTTTTTTTAAAAATATTTTAATTTACATTTATTTAAAGACCTCCTTGTAATATTTTAAATTTCAACTAATCTTTATCTATGTTTTATTTTCCCTCTTTAAATTACCAATTATTTTAGTTAATTATTGTTTACATAATTTTTTTTCTTATTCAGGTAATTTTAATTTTGAATTTTCTTTTAATTTTAATTAATATTCATCTACATAAATATTGAAATTGAAATTGAAAAAAAAATAAATTATTCAGAATGTTATAGTTGGAACTATAAATAATTCCCCTCCTTCCCTCCCCTTTTTTTAGAATTAACCCAAATATAAATACATAAATTCTCAAATTATAAGTAAAAAATTTTTAATTTAATTTAAATTATTTATTTAAAAACTTTTTTTATTTAATTGTTACCTAATTATATATTTATGTACACATGTATCTTTTTCTTTATTTTAAAATTTTTTGTTAGCCTTTAAATGTTTTTGCGCATTCTAAAGCAGTTTAGCGCTCCTCCTCTTTTTTGCTTGTTGAAATGACGCGGTTAACAATGTGCCATGCCATTTGACGTATTTTATCCTCTCACTTCCTTTCTCTGAAAGATTCTTTTCTTTTTTTTAATTTTTAGTAAAATATTTTTTTAGTATTTTCATACATAAAAATATTTTTAAAAAATTTAAATTTTCTATATTAACAAAGTTTTTTGAAATTTATATATAAATTAATTTAATTATTTTTGCAAAGATTTTTGATCTTCTTGTTTATTTATTTCATAAGCTCTTGACTTAATTAAATTACTAAATATTATTCATAATATGTTGTTGTCAATCCTAATATATATTTTTATTTTTCTCTCCTTTCTATTTATTTTTTTTCCCTCCTTTTTATTAAAAATATTTTTTTTATTTTTCTCTCAAAATTTTCTAAAAATTTTTATTTTCAGTATTTATTACGTTCTTCAACTGATATTTCCCTCTGTGAGCAATTTTCCTGTCTGAGTTCTCGGCTTCGCGCTGTTCCAGCCCTTTTCACTGTTGTTGAGGAAGCACAGCAACCAATAAAAATTTGTGACGAGCGTAACACTGTGAGGAGAATTTTAAAAATTAATTAAAAAATATTTATTGTTTGCAGGTTCAATACGTAAACAAAGCTTTCGAAATGCTTACGGGTAGAAATCGAGCTGTTTTGTTGGGGTCTGATGGTTCCAATGAATTTGGGGGAGGAGGTACTGGAAAATTATTTTTTAATTTGTTTAATTCTCCTTTGACTAAATTTTGGAATAAATAAATATTTTAAAAAATTTACTAAAAAAATTTTTTCCCTAAAAATTAATTTTAAGCTCAAAGAAATCATCATCATAGAGAACAACAACTACTTCCCAATCATATAGCAACAGCTACAATAGCGGCGAGTGCCACAGCAGCAGTAGCCCCCTCCTCTATATCTTGGAGTACTTCACTTCCCCCTCCTTCCCTTCCTCCTCCCCCACATCCCCCTCCTGTAATGACGGTTACAGGAACACCTCCAATAGCTAGAGCAGAAAGTATTTGTGAGGAAATTTTGGAAAGAAATACAAATAGTCCAACATTTCCTTTAAACGCTACGCGAAGAAGATCATCAGATTGGCAATGTATTGCTGTACCTACAAGTTCGAAAAGGTGAAAATTATTTTTTATGTTAATATTAGTGATTAGGAATGCTTATTTAGGGTTGGGTATTTTTTAATAAAAATATCACATCCTATACACAGTGCATAAAAATTTTTTAAGTGTAATATTTTAACCTTCTCCCGAGTAAGGTTGGCGGATCTTGGGAAATTTTTGAATATTCGGATCCTATCCGAAACTTTCCGGATATCCTGTTTCTTTGGATCCGGATATCTGCATCCTTACTCCCGAGTATTAGAAAATATTTTTTTTTGAATTGTTTGTGCATTTCTACTTTATCTAGTTAATCTTTTTAGATTTAGGCAATTAATTTCAATAAATCCATCAAAATTTTTCATTTACAGCCATCATCAATATATTTATGTAAAGCGAGGAAGTGCTGATGGTAAAATTATTTAAATATTTTTTAAAATTTTATAAAAATTTTTATTTTTTTATGAATCATTTTTTTTATTATTTTCTCATGAAAGAGAAACATTATTATTATTTTTTAAAAGATGATTTTTATGAATGGGCATTTTTATAATATTTGTTTAATAATAATATTTAAATTGGCAATAAAAATGAGAAGGAATGGGGGGGGGGGACTGTAAAAAAGTTAAAAAAAATTTTTTTAGAAATTTTTTTTATTTTTATGTCTGAAAATATTTTTTAAAAATTATTTAAAGGTATTCAATGCATTATTATTTATTTTCAGCTGCTTTCTTTCGTAATGAACGCAGTGAAAAAGGTGGACGTTCTTCTAATGCTGCACTTGTTGATGCGCCTATTACTGAGGCATTTTCTAAATTTATTTTTTTCCAAAATTTGTTTAAATTAACATATTTTGAGGGAAAATTAAAGTCCTCCTAAATATTCAAAAAAAGATTATCCTAAAATAGATAAGGGCTTGAGGGGTTATTTAATGTTTGTTGAGTTATTAGCCCTCTTCAAATTTAACTTAAATATAAAAATTTGTGGGGAAAGGAAATAATTTTTTAAAAATTATTTTTTAGGCATTAAATGCCTTAGCGAGTATATTCCACCGTTGTGATGAAGAAACTCAAATACAATTACGAGAAGCAATGCGTATTCTTTCTTCTTCAGAACTTTATACTCCAACAATTACTCGTTTTAGAGAAAATGATAGAATAGCTAGTGGATATTATGATGGATTAATTAGGGTAAATAAATATATTTAATTTTTGTTAGATGTTTTATTTGGCCTCAAAACTTCTTCCAAAAATTACTGTTAAAACATTAGTCTTCCCAACCCCTATAAAATCTGTCAAATCTTTTGATTTTTTCAGTTACACCATCCAACTCGCCAACGTAAACGTTCTGTTGTAGAAGCCTATCGTGACCACCAACAACGTAGAGCATCTAGCGGTAGTTGTATTAGTGGATTAACAACATTAGGAGTCGGAGGGGGAGGAACTTCTTCTTTACAAGAACAAAAACAAAATTTAAAACGTCTTCACAAAAACGGAGAAGAAGAAAAGGAAGAAGAGGAGGAGGAGGAAGAAGAAGGAACAAATAATTTATTAGAAAATATAATTTTTAAACAAAAAGGGAGGAGAGTGTCAGCAGAAATATTTAAAGTTTTGGAGAAAGAACATTGCTGGGATTTTGATGTTATTGAATTAGAAAGAGTTACAGATTCACATCCTCTGGCTAATTTAGGGTTTAAAGTTTTTGAAAGATGGAGTGTTTGTGAAGCTTTACATTGCTCTTCTGATGTGTATGTGTTTTTAAATTGAACTAAAAATATTTTCTTTTTAACTAAAAATTAGAATTGTTAAACAAAAACAAAAGAGAGAATAATTAAATATTATAGGTTAACAAAGAATATTAGATTGATAAGAAAATATTAAAAATGATTAGAAAATATTTGGAAATTTTGTCAAATATTTTTTGAGTACCATATTTACTAGATTAATTCCCCTGGGGAATTGTATTTCTACCCATCCGTGAGATGGGGAATTAATTGAGTGTAGGGAATCAATTGAGTAAATTATTAGTAAAGTAAAAAAAATTTTCTATTGGATCTATACAAATGTATCTTTAAACAAAACTCTAAGTAAAATTTTAAAAACAGATTACATAAGTGGTTAACAATAATCGAAGCTAATTACCAATCTGGTAATGCTTATCACAATGCTACACATGCTGCGGATGTATTACAAGCAACTTCTTATTTTCTTTCTTCTGATCCAGTAAATTTTAAAAATTTGTTTAAAAAATATTTTTTAATTTTTTAAAAAGGTTGGTCAATTAATTCAAGATAATCATGCATTGGCAGCATTAATAGCAGCAACAGTTCATGATTTAGACCATCCTGGGAGAGGGAATGCTTTTTTAATGAATACTAGACAACGATTAGCTATTTTATATAATGACCATTCTATTTTAGAAAATCATCACGTAAATTTTTTATTTAAATTTCTATTTGGGAAGGATTCTCAGGAATCCTCCCTTTAAGTTTTTAACTTGAGACTCTAATGAACTCATTTGACATATCTAAAAGTCGAATGTATTGACGTGAGTAAAGTAACTTACTCTGTGCTCTCTAACTTTGCCTTTGCTTCTTAAAAACAATTATTAGTCAAACTTAAGAAGACCATAAATTTAATTATTTTATTACTTATGTAAGTAATAGAAGATAAGTGAAAATATAATTTACATAAAGAGGGATTCACTGATTAAAATTGTTTTATTTTACTGAAGCAAATATATAAATTATTTTAAATTTAAAGGTAGCATTAGCCTTTCAATTAACACTTTCTCAACCTGGAGTTAACATTTTTGCCCAAATGCCACGTGATGATTTTGTTCAAATGCGTCAATCAGTTATTGATATGGTTTTGGCAACAGATATGAGTAGACATTTTGAACATTTGGCTAAATTTCAACAATTAATGGCTATATTACCTGGAAATGCTGATGAAGAAGCAGAACAGGAAGAAGAGGAGGATAGGGATACAAATTCGATGATTATTTGTAGAATGGTAAGGGAGGGTGAAAATTAAATAATGGAAATATATGAGGGAATAATTGTGAGAAGACGGGGATCTTATTAAAATCAGGGTCACTAATTTAGGGAAAAGTTAATGACTTTAAGTTAATTGGGAAATTATACCTGTACATATTTACTGTTAAATGAAAGGACTTCTCCTTCCTTAAATAAAATTTCAAAAATAATTTTTTAAATTAAAAGATGGTTAAATGTGCGGATATTGCCAATCCAACACGAGAATGGAGATTATGTCATGAATGGGCTTTACGTATTGTACAAGAATATTTTGATCAAACAGCAGAGGAAGTTGAAAGAAAATTACCTGTTACAATGAAAGGATTTGATAGAGAAACCTGTAATGTTCCTTTGACACAGGTGGGTTTTGTGTTTGTGTGTGAAAAAGGACGGGGTTAACTTTCTCTCAGTGCGTGGTCTATTCTTACATTAGTTTTTCTTAGATACAGGGTCTCTTAAAAATTAGGACAACATTAAAATGACCAAACAATCCTTCGAATTAAAACTCCTTCCTCTCCAAAAATTATTTTAATTTAAGTGTACATTTGTTGATATGTTTGCCAGAGAAACATTTACTGGATGGTGCGAATTTGCTGCCTTACCTCACTTGTTAACCCGTTTAGAAGAAAATTATGAAAGATGGAAAACACAAGCTTCTGATTGGGAACCACAACGAAATAACGATAATGCTAATTTACTTGCTTTGAGAGAAAAGCAATGGAGAAGGATAAGTAATGGATAAACAATAATTAATTTAATTAAATTTTAATGTTTCTTTTTGTATATTTCTTTTTAGAAATTCACCCAATTTTTACTAAACTTTTTTAATTAGTTCAGGGTTTTCCAAGACGAAATGGGGATTTGATAGAGTTCCTTCCTTGTTTCAAAATCCTTCGTGCATAATTCAAAATCTCCTCTGATGAAATTCCTGTTAAAATGCCACCCTCCCCTCAACTAAAACTCACAAATTCTACATATTAAACAAAAAGAAACACAAAACCCCTTTACAATTTTTGCATAATATTCTCAATAAATATCAAAGAGCATTTTTTGTTAGCCTCTTAATTTCCCACTCAATGCATTTCTTTGTATTCTTTATTTACCTTTATACAATAATTGATATTTTTTTTAATTCCTTATTTTCTTTTTGCTTCTTCCCAGAAGTTAGTCGCCTTCTTCCCCTTTTTTATCTTTTAAAAAATTTGGAATTTTTTTCTGAATTTTTGTGCAATTATTTTTCTGTGCTCTATCATTTACTCTCACTATTTCTTACTCTGCTTTATTTTTATCAACTATATTAAACAGATATGTTTTTGGCTGTTTTGATTTATCATTAAAAAAACAATTAGAAAATGCATAAATTTAATTGCTCATAAAAATTATTTTATTTTAGTATCAAATTGTAGGTTGGAAGGTTCCCTTGTTAGATATCCATCCAATTTATACTTATATATCACATCTCCCTCCCTTTTTTGAATTTCCCTTTCCCGTGGGATCAATCCTTAGTGAAAGTTTGCTTTACCATTAATTCTTTTACCTAAACTCAGTATAACTCCCAAAAATGTAATTAGTCAATTAAAAATTGAAATTCAATATCCAATTTTATCAAGTTTAAAACAAAACAAATATCTTAACCATTTAGTCTTCCATAGGAAAGTCAATACAAATTTAGAAAAAAAGAAAAAAATTAACCAAATATAATCAACATTATAAACCAAAATTAACATATAAATTTTCTTAATCATTTCCCTTGCCTTTATTTTCATCCACATCAATTTATATATATTTAACGAAAATTATATTTGACATAAGGAATCTAAAATTATAAAAAAAAATTATTTAATCTCATTCTAAAGTTTTTACCTCAACATCCTCATCCTTATCATTTTGAGTAATTGCCTCAAATACAAGTGAACGACGGAATGGAGGAACTTTGTTGCGAGACACTTCCTCCACCACTTGAATAACACTAAAAAATTTAAAAATTAGATTTAAGCATTAAATAACTCCCAAACATAATGAAGGGTACTAAAAAGGTCGAATTAATACAATAAATAAATTAAAAATTATTGATAGCCCCTTCTCTTAAACCCTAACAATAAAATTTAAAATTAAACTTACTCTCTGGTTTTACGTTCAGCAACTTTGCCAGGTGGCTGGAAAAAAGCATAAAGAAGCGAAACACCAGAAGACATCATTGAGACAGTTAATCCAGTTTGTGTCTAAATTTTAATTAAACATTCCTTTAAATAAAAATTTTTAATTATTTAAACCTCAATCCATTCAATAAACTGTCCAAGTGTTTTAGGACCATTTACTTCCAATCTATCCCAAAGAGTAAATTCAATATCACGATACTGAAATATTTAAATATAATTTTTAATTTTTTTATTTCACAAACCTTCTTTTTTGCTGCTTTTCCAGGTTCACTGAAAGCAATAAATGGAGTTGCTAAGTTAAGAAAAGCATTTTTAAAACGTTCAATAGGTGCCTTTGAACGTTGGCCTTCAACCTCAATAGTCTAAAAAATAGATAAAATATTTCTTAAAATCAAAAAACCTTATAAAGTTCTATACAAACAAGTCCAGCAACAACTGAAGTCGTTGTAGCCAATGCAGGAATAATTTTACCAGCAATTTGTTTTGTCTTAAACGATTTTTCCCAATTTTAAAAATTAAAAAAAAACCTTCATTCTATCAGCCTTCTCAATCGTATAATTTTCTGCACGTAAATTTGAAGCTGCAGTAATAAAGTCAATATGATGATTTGTGTCATCATCCTTCTCAAAATCGATTGGAGTTAAACGGCGAATACTGTCAATTTTTAAACGAGCCAAATTCATATTTAAAGTATCAAGAAGCTTTTCACTGTCATCTAAAATAAAACGAAAATAAGAAAAATCGCGGAAAAAATAAGAAAACCTCCTTCAGGGCCAGCCTCATCGTTAGCAGCAGCCTCTGCATCGGTAACTGCAATCTTAATGCCTTCTCTCGGTTTGAATTCTGGTGATATGATGGCGCGAGCAAGATGAGCAACTTTGATAGGGTCACTGATTGGTTCAATATTATAAAGTTGTGCTCGTAGAAAAGCCGCTGAATAAACAAATTCCAAATGTTCGGGCTAAAAGCTTATGAAAATTAAAACTAAAATTTTATAAAAATACATTGTCAACGTCAAATTTCAATGGATGGGGACAACGTTTAGTTCCTGACCAAAACTTTTGTCCTTGAGAAGTAACCTAAAAAATATAAATTTAAAACGTTTTAAAAATAAATAACCTGATCAGGAGGAAAATTGTGCAAAAGTTGCATAATCTCATTTCTATAAAGCGAATCAAACAAATCACGTGCCCATTTGACACAATCTTCAGCACTGCTTGGGCATTCATCAATTAAAGCTTTATTTAATGCACGCAGTAATTCGATCTAAATTAAACATTTTTTAATGAGGTATTTAATTTAAACCTTTTGAGAAACGGTCATTTGTTGAAGACGGCCAAGAAAACCATTTACATCATCCAAATATTGATTGGCTGTTTCTGCAACAGAGGTAAAATGATCAGCAAATTTCTAAATTAAATGATAAATTCAAAATGTTTTTAATTTTAAAAATACCGATCGAGCCCATTGAATCGTATGCTGAATTTGATATGGGAAATTCTTGAGTGTACAAACAGGTGTTTCTGACTCGGGCGGATCAGAAGTTGAACTAAAGATATAAATATAAAAATCCTCTTTCAGCATCTGGTTTCGTGATGTCTGTCAAGTCTGGATTTTTGATTTTGTATTAATTTTAAAGGGAAAATCAGGGCTATGTCAAGTAAAAAATCAGGAATTCCCAGAAAGCTTCCAAACATTATTTTTCTTTAAAAATACCCGTATGATTCAGTTAAGTGTGGGAAAACCACTTGAGTATTTCCTTTTGCTCCCATTGTTCCAGATTCAAGCAATGGGAGCTGATAATAAACGCAACGACGATCAACATAGCGACCTAAAATCAAAGAAGTCCAATACAATTAAAATTATAATTCAAAAAAACATACGAGCTTCAACATTATCCAAAGCATTACAAACACCATTTAATTGATTGAAAAAGTCATCGTTGAAAACACTCTCTGTTGCCTCAGAAACAATGTCAGAAAGAGCTTGGACGTTAACTGCTGGGTTGAATTGCTTGATAGAACGAGCAGCAACTTCAGATTTCTTTTTCTGTAAAACTCAGTTTTTAATTCACCAAGAATATAAAGATTACCCCAACATCAGGTCGACGAAATAGGAATTGTCTATTCAAGTTAGAAACTTCAATAGTATCTGGATCTGTGACTTTAAGTAGACCACCATTACCCGCTGCCAATCCCATCATAGCCATATTTTTAAAAAGTTCACAACCAATAGCCCCTGCGCCAACAATAAACCAATTTTGTTTAGATAATGCTGCTTGGAATGCCCATCCAAAAACAGCTGCTTGACCGTCATAACGAGTTTGGCGCTTAAATTTAAAAATGAAAAAACAAAACCGAAATACTACATACCGGTTCGCAATCCTTTTCAGTCAATTTACCAGCATCAAAGCTTGAGTAATCACCAGGAAGTGCTTCACACGAGTCTGTATATAAAAATTGTTTTAAAGGTGTTGTGTGATGAGTGACAGCTTTAAATGCCTCTTGAGCAACAAATCCACCAATAACAGAAGCGACAGGTTGAAGATTTCCAGTAGCCTATAAATAATGATCGAATAAAAAAACATAGATTCAAAACCTGATAAGAAAAATTGAGCATCAATTGTTCAGGTATCTCAGCAGTTCCAGTCCCTTCAAGTTCAGCTTTAAACAATTCTGCATCCTTTTTGGAACGGGGTTTTGGTGAACGTTTGTGCTGAATAAAAGAGCTAAATGCCAAAAATTACGAATAAAACCTTTTTCTCAAATTTGTAGAGTGCTTGCCAAAGGCGATGGAAATGTTCTGGACCATCAAATTTAGCAAAATCCCAAATCATAAATTCTGGGGACTTTAGTGCTTCGACAAGAGATTTAAACTCAATAAATTTCGGCATCTTAACTTTACGAGCCCTTCCACGAGAGATTGGGCCATCAATGACTGATGAGAAGACCGAAAGAGCTTTGCCGACATTGATTATATGACCTTCTATAAATTCATAAATTAGATATATATTGAATTAATTTATTCAAACATACTTGCAGTTGTCTTTACTGGTGTTGGTGTCAATTTATTAAGTTCTGCGATCTCAAAATCCTCAAAAACAATATGATCTCCATCTTCCAATCCGTGATAAGCCTTGTCAAGAGTAAATATTTCACCAGTCTCACAATTAACATGCTCGAGTAATACTTCATTATAAGTTTCACCATCAACATCATGCACAGCAAATTTCTCACCAAGATCAACAAAAGCATAGGAAAAAAGACCTCTGGCATCAGCAGAAATGAACAGCTTTCCATGTTTCCGCATCCAGTTGTTAATTTTAATTTGCTCTTCCCAAGATGAATCAGTAACGATAACTAACTATAAATGGAAAGTAAATCATTTCCTAAAGTAAAAGGAAAGTAAAGCAAAGTAAATGTTGCCCATAATTATTAGGATTCACAAGACATCCTACATGATCCAAAATTATTAATTTTTAAAACAAACATCAAACTGTTTCACAAATTCCTCATTCAATGCTTCTGTGTGAAGAACGCAAGTGACGGTATCATTCAATTCGGCCAACTTTGTGAAAGCGATTTTGGCACGATTCTCACCCACCATTGACTCGTCAGCATAAAAGCATGCTGATAAATCCCCAAAAGTCAAAAGTTTTTGGTCATGTAGAGTTACGTGACGAACGCCACCTTAACGTAATTTATTAATTATTATGTTAATTAGAAACTAGGGAGAGCAAGTCCCTAACCATGAGACATAATCTGGTCTTATCTAAGGTTCGGAAATAGGATGGAAACACAAAAAATTCGAGTATACGGAAGCAAAGGAAAGCCGAAAATTAAATAAACAGAATAAAAAATTACATACCAAGGATAACATTTTTGGCAATTTCAAGACCCACGGATCCAATACCACTAATCAAAACCGAAGCCTTGCGTAAATGAGTCATGGCAGATTCGCCCAATGCATAACTAAAATAAACAAAAGTTTTCAGGATTAATTTAATAATTTTACATTTGACGCGAATAAAGATTTGTGTCCACAGAATTGTCAGCAGAGTTTGGACCATTTGCATTTCCTCCTGTCTGATTTGAATTATTCTGATTATTTTCAGATGCCGGCATTATTTTTCCGTTTCTTTGAGACTAAAATTAATTTTTTAAAAATATTTAAGACTACTTAAAAAACATACACAAATAGAAGAATTTCCACAACGAGTAATTTTTATTGCTGGTTCTTCGTCAAATATAGGTCTTGTATGCTTCATAAACCTAATAAAGAAGAAAATATAAAAATGATCGGTCAAAAATTTTTTTAATAATTGATAAAAACAAGCACGAAAACAATAAAAAAAAATAAAAAATCAAGGACAAACATGGCTGCGCCCCAAAACGGCCCACCTCAAAACGGCCCACCCCAAAACGGCCCACTGAACAAATACCCCCAAAATGGCCCACCTCAAAACGGCCCACAGTGCAAAAGCCCCCAAAATGGCCCAACTGGTTTCCGGAAACCTTATTTCCGGATTTTCCTGAAACAATTTTCCGGAAACTTTTTTCCAGATGTCCGGAAACAAGTACCGGAAACCGTTTTCTGTATTTTCCGGGTACAAAAAAATCTGGAAATGCAGTTTACCTCAAAATGTCCCACCCAAAAAACGGCCTGCAAATCCGGAAAAATGGTTTCCGGAAAAATAGTTTGCTGAAAAGTTTTCTTCTGAAAATGATAGGTAATCGACCATGCGGAGTCCGAATCTGAGCTTAGAATTTGTTTTTTTCGAACCCCGGACCCGAGTTCGACCAAGTCGAATTCGGTAAAATTTCGAAATTAAAAATTTAGGGCTAATCTAAAGTTGTCGAAAAAAGTTTTTTTCGACATAAAGGTTGTCGAAAAAACAACTTTCAGAACCCGCTTCCCGTTTCCCGGACCTGGTTTTTTCAATTTTTAATTTTAGTTCGACAAATTGAGTATTTTTACTTTGTTGGACATTTTGAGATGGGCCGTTTTTTGGGTGGGCCATTTTGGGGGTTTCTGTACATTGGGCCGTTTTGGGGGTTTTTGTACATTGGGCCGTTTTGGGGGTGGGCCGTTTTGAGGTGGGCCGTTTTGGGGGTTTCTGTACATTGGGCCGTTTTGGGGGTGGGCCGTTTTGAGGTGGGCCGTTTTGGGGGTATTTGTTCAGTGGGCCGTTTTGGGGGTGGGCCGTTTTGGGGGCGCGCCACAAACATTCAATAAATTTTAAAAGTTTAAAGAATCATCGTTTTATTGGCATTATGTATTTTTTGTTTTACTGTTGGAATGGACAATCGAGTCTTGTTAAAGGCTATTGTTTCCCATGGATTACAGAAATCCCTCGGAATTTTCTTACAATTTTATTATTTTTCCTTTTCATTTTTGAATGTTTTTTTCAGATTTTTATTGTTTATATTTTCAAATTAAATGAATAAAATGGATGACCAATTGGCCGAATGCCGTGAGGTTTAAATATTTAAATTTTATTCAGCGTAAAACTTCTTAATTTTAGATTTTTTGTTATTTTGACTCGAAAGGAGATGAAAAAATAAATGTGAAGCAAGTTGGTAAGTTAAAAAAAGAAGAGGTTTTGTTTAATTGTAAATTTAAATATTTGTTAGGTGATGTACTTCGAGCTTTAGGTCAAAATCCAACTGAAGCTGAGATTCAAAAATGTTGTGAAAATTGGACTAATCCGGGTATTTTTAAATAATCTTTAATTATTTTTTGTAAGGAAATTTCTTTTAGAGGCACGTATTTCTTTTGAAGAATTTGTTCCCATCTATCAGGCAGTCAGCAAGAATTCGGGACAATTTACTAAAGAACAATTCGTTGAAGGACTTTCTCATTTTGATCGAGAAGGAAATGGGACTATTGCTGTGGCTGAGGTTTTTTGTTTTTTAATTTTTATTTGAAAATATTTTTTAGTTGAAACATTTGTTGACAACTTTGGGGGAACGTCTTAGCGATGAGGAAGTTGAACAACTTTTGGCTGGTCATGAGGTCGCTAATGGTGGTTATGTTAATATTGAATCTTTTGTTGAGGCTATTATTCACCGGTAAATAGTGAAATAAAAAAAACTAATAATTTTTGAAATATAACCAGAATTTGGGGATAACTTTAATTTAGGCCAAATAAATAGGAATTTTGAACTTTATTGGACTCCTTTTCATTTCTCCCTCTTTTATTTTCATAAAAGGCGAGCCTGACTTAAATGTGAAGGCAGACTATTGTCCCAGCAAACTACCCTGGTTAATCCCTGTTGATTAATTTAGTTGTCAGAGATAAATCAAACAATAAAGTTCAAAATTCTCAAGATTATTTTTAACTAATAGAGTGCAAGATTATTTTATTATAAATTTGAATGAAACTATGATTCCCAAAATTAGTCTTTTTTGATTTAAGTGCAAACTACTTATAAATTGGAAATGTTAAAAAATATTTTTCTGGTTATATTTCAAAAAATTTGACTAAATCATTTTGAAATACTAAAATTTTTTGGTAGTTCCCCAACTTCTAACAATAATTTTTTATTTACAATTTTATCCTCTTTCATTAACTACTAATTTCATTCCCTTCTTGCCAATTAAATTTTTGCGTGCATTAACATAAAATTATATTAATTTTTTCCAATCTAATTAAAACTAGCAAAGGACTAAAATTTTTTCAGTAATTTAAATGATTAATGTCACTCATTAATAACTCTAAATTGATAATAAATTCTTATTCTTTAGTCTTTTGCTTTTCTATTCATTTTATTTTTAAAAAATTCCCCATATTCTCATAATTTTTACAGAGATCCTATCGAGGCATTTTCTTCGTCCGCAGCGCTATTATCTAATCAAAGTGGACGAAGTTTTATTTAAATAATGAGCATTTACTTATTCCCCTTCAATTTTAAATTGTAAACTCTCATATATAGGGGCAATTATTTAAATTAAATTATTTTCTTTTTATTGTAAAAGTATTTAAATATTTTGATGTCAATTCATTTTAAATATATATATTTGATTTAATAAATTTTATGGGGAAAAGTTTTTGTAAAAGCTTATTTTTGTTAACGAAGTTATTAAAAGTACGTAGTTTTGAGCTTTTCTAGTCCAAATACTCTTATTACCGATTTTCGAAATTTTTTCTTCTTGTTATTTAGAGGTTTTAAAAATATATAAAAAATAAATGCTAATTCTATACGATGTATTTTCGAAATATTTAAAAAATTAATTTTTATTTTCTCCATTTCCCAACAAAATTAAATTCATATAAGCACTTCCACCATTATTATTTTGTTTACATTCCATTCTTTTCGTCTCAAGAACATTTTTTTGTTTTTGAATTTCTTCGCAAAGCTTTTGTAAATTATCATATTCTCCTCCACTTTCTGAAGATTGATTGTTGCTGCTATTTGAATGTTTTTCCTCTTCAAAGTCAATTTCTTCCTTTTCTTGAAAATAATTGCATTTAACTTTGTTAAGGAAGGATTTCTTTTCTTATAGTTAGGGATGCTCCTTTATACAAAAAATCTTAACAATTTATGTAGGGAAACAAATCAGGTCTCGATTACTTTTAGGTTCTAACAACAAGTAAGTCAGCAAAGAGCACTGACAAACAAATTAAGGATAATTTTAAAAAATAAATTTAAAAGTAATTTACCAATTTCTTTTGTTGTCCTTTTTATTTGTGGAGTAGAATATAAACGTGGAATTCGTGAAAGTGATGGACTTGCAATTGAAGGTATTGGGGATAATGGTAATAAATAATTATTTTTTTGTTGATTGGTTATATTATTTTCTTTAATAGTCAAAGATTTGTTGTCAAATGGATCATCTTCTTTGTTATAAAAATATTCAAGAGGTGTGCTTTCATTTTCCTTGATTAAAAAAATTTTCATTTGGATATACATTAGGTTAAACAAAAAAATATTTTTTTGAAATAAAAACATGGTCTTATACTTTGGCAGTTAAGTCTAAAATAGGCTAATCAAAATTCTTAGATAATTTTAAAACAATTTTTTCTTTCAAATAAGCAAGTTTTTTGGATTTCTCTTTAATTTACTTTTTTAAATTTAACTCAAACCTCCTCTACCTTTTCGTTTAAATTTATAGAATTATTCTCAATTTTTCCATTTTCTTCAAATTTTATAATATTTTTTCTTCTCTTTGATAATTTTCTTTTTTCTTTTATTAAAAACAAACTTAAAATAATTATAATTAATAAAAGAAATGCAATCAGAGAAGTTAAACAAATTGTTGAAATTGGCAAAAATGTTGATTTAACTTTAATTTAATTTTTAATTTAATTATTTTTGTATTTCTCACAAAAAACTCCATTTCCAAGCCATTGCTCGCAATAACGTCCGCCATATTTCTCGGGACATCTGATAAATATAAAAGAATTATTTGGATCTAGTAGTTAATTCAAATAAATTTTTGGGTTATCAACAAACATTAGGGTTGGGGGCCCGGTCCGAAAGATTGTGGTGGGCATCGAATTTTGGCCCAATAAAAGACTCGGTCGGGTCGGCCCGATAAAAATGACTCGAACGTCGGTCCGACTCGAAACCCCAACCCTAACAAACATCTTTAATTTTTAGTTAAAGTTTGTGGTAGTTCTCCACCTGAAAACTATTTTTATAAAGGATATATTGATATATATTTTATTAGATTTTTAAAATCATTCTTAATAATTTCCTTTCAAACAAAAAACAACAACTTACAAACAAAATTTACTTCCATTATTATTCATTTCCAAACATAACCCCCCATTTTTACATTTGTTATTATAATTATTTTCACAAGGAATTGTTCCAATTTTTGGTGTCATCTTTAATGTTCTTTGATATATTTGATTTTTATTTGTTATTTGGGGAAAATGTCTTCTTCCTTTTCTTAATAATTTAGCTTCATCAGGGAATATTTCAGCAGAACAATGGAAGAGAATTGGCTTTTTGTTGATATTTTGTTTATTATTTAATTTTTTATTTTCTTCTTCCCAAGGAATAAATTCATAAGCAATACTACATATTTAAAAATTAAAAAAATTATAAGATATTTTTTGGTAAAAGGGTTTCTTTTTTGATTAAAAATAGAAAAGATTAGAGGATATGTACTTAACAAAATTAACAATTTTCTAATAATTCTCAAATTTAATTTAAATTTAAAAATATTCTCCCCAAACCTTCCACCACTTTCTTCTTCAATTATCCCAACTTTCTTTCCATTTTTATGTAAAAGTAAAGTACTCGGAATAAAAGCCCTTCTAGATTCTTCTCCAATTGCACACCTAACAATACATCTTTCTTCTCCCCAAACTGTAGCCGAACGTAAAGAAGCACTCGAAGATTCGTCTGAATTAAGTAATAATTCAAAAATTGGGGGAACTTGTTGTTGTGTTTCTCTTTTTATTGATGTTGATGTTGATAATGTTTTCCGTTTATTTTGAATTATAAATTCATCTCCAATATTTTCGTTATTATTTTCTCCCATTTTTATATTAAAAGTTTTTGTTTTTCTTTAAAAAAATAATTTTAATAATTAAATCCCTCATATAAATACTAAAATGTAACATTTGTTTAAAAACCACGGGATTGTATAGAGAAACAGCTCATAAACTTAAGCCGAACTTTTTAAATTCTCGAAAATTTTTGGAAATATTTTTGAAATAAAATATTTACTTAATTTGTAATTGTGCACGTTAAACTTACAATTAGCTTATTTAGCATTCGACCTTATATTAAATTTTAAATTTATCAAAATTTTTTCACATATATTGATTATCGAAAAAAGGAAGAAAAATTTATTTTAATGTGGTCAGTTTTTTAAAAACAAATCCTCTAAAACTTTTATGCGCGAAATGTAGTAATGCTCTGATTACGTTTTTGTTTTTAATTCTCGAACACACACAGGAGAGGGAAACAAAAAATGATTTTTCTTTTTACATTTTTTGTAGAAAAAGGAAAGATTTACTACTAAACAAGATCTCCTTCCTCCTTTTCTTTATTGTCCACTTCTAACAAATTATTTTAAACAAAAGAAAAGAAAATTAAAGAAAATATTTTTCTTAGCTTTTTACCACAAAATATTTGTTTCTATCAAACAAAAAATGGCCAAAAAAAACAGGAAATAAACAAAATAACAGTATAAATAAAATATAATTAAATACCTGTTTAAAAGATTAATTTAGTTAAATAAAAATTATTTTTGATAAGTACAAAGCAATTTTTAGTTTTTAATAAAAATTATAAACTAAACACAGGCTTTCTATGTCCTTCTTGATTAACAATTTTTTAAAGTTTTTCGATTCTATCTTGGGGTGATTCTTGTCTTGAATTTTTTAATAGAAAAAGTATTGAAATAAATTTTGGAAATACTAACATAATCTGTGAATCTAAACATTATCATTCGACTTAGATAAATTTTATTTTATCTGATTTTTGGAGGAAGAAAAAAGGGAAAACAAACAAAACTTCACGTGTACGTTATTTCCACTTTAACGTAGGATTTTTTCTGCAGGAGAATGAGGTTCGATAAAAATATTTAGAATTACTAATATTTATTTATTTATTTAAAAATACATTTCAATAAAATTCATTAAGAATAAAATGTCTTGTAATATCATAACTAAAAGGTTTAGCTTTTAAATCTTGTCCAAAGTTTGTATCTACAGAAAAACATTTCAGTGTAACAAAAGGTTTAAGCACTAAATCAAAATTCTCTTTCAAATGCACAGCTTTACCTTAAAAAATATTTTTTTTATAAAATAATTCTTTTATTTCAAACCAATTTGTTTCCCATTTTGTGTGAAGAAAATATATGGAAATTCCTCAGACATTCTATTATTCGGTGGATATACTAATCCACATCCATAAACATCAGAAGAACCTCGACTTAATGTTACTGTAAATTCTTCATCTTTTTCATTTTTAATTAAAGATTTATTTGTAATAAATCTAACACGCTTTTCACCATCTGTAAGTCCAATAATTGCAAAACTTTGACTTAAATTCCTAGCTTCAGTAATTTGGCATTTAATTTCGAAATAGAACAAAGAATAATTAATGCAGTTTTGGGGCTTTTCAAATTTATTTTCGGCAATTACTCTCCCACTTTTATCATGACCTAAAATGGATATATTAAAATTTATTTGATATTGTCAAGTAAAATCAGTTCCGAGACCGGAAACTGGGATAGGTATATAATAATCCGGCCCACAAATGTTACAACCGGAGGTTATCTGGTTATGTCCGAGATTTAACTAATGTGGACGTGCACAAGAATAACAGTTTATCCGGTGTTGAAATGTACATACATACAATGAAGACGAAGGTGGAAAGAGCTGGAACAGACGAAGGGAATCAGGGACTAGCCCTGCTAGTATAATCCAACTAGACTGACGCCTTCACTGGCTTTCATACTATAGATACACCACTACACAAATAACCTGGAGATCCCAAAAACCTCGGATTTGGGATCCAGATTCAGAAAAATCTAGCGAATTTGATAAAGGTTTAAAAATAATTTACCTGTTCCCGAAAGAGAATTAATATATTTAACATAAAAGTCACTAGTTACATTAACAAAACCATTTCCTTTAACACAATTGGCAACAAGTTTGTTTGTATTTACACATTTCTTTTCACAACAATTATAAAAATCATTGTCATTACTTGTATCGTTTAAATTAAAAATTTCCTTCCATTTATTTTTAATTTGCATAAAATTCTAAAAATAATTAATTTAAATTTAATTTTAATTAAAAACTAACCACAAATTTACAAGTAAATTTAAAAAATTGTTCCAATTTAATTGTCAAATCCTCAATCTTTTCCCCAAATAATTCATTCACCTTTTAATTAATTAATTTTAAAAATTAATTTTTCAAAAATACTTTTTTAATTTCTTCTTCAGATAAGTTAATTTTTTCCAAAATTTGATTATCTTTAATTTCACCAAACAATTGTTGAAAATTTTGTTTAATTTCTTCTATTTTATTTTCATTATCAAATTGAATTTTTTGAATTATCTAAAATTAATTTTAAATAATTAATCTTTGTAATTTTTCTTGTTAATACTTTGGAGGTCGCCCATTCCCCTTTTTCCTATTTCTATTTGTTTTATTTTTTCTCATTTCATGGTAAATCATAGATCATTAGACTCAGTTCTTCGAGCTGAATCGAATGACACTAAAATCAACGAAATCTAACTTAATTGAACAAAGTTATGACCACTTGATTTAACCTTTTTCTTTAAATTACCTGATTAAATTGTTCTTCCAAAGAAATAATTTTTTCATCTTTTTGTTCAATAATTTGATTTAAATTAGAGATTTGATTAGTCTAAAATAAATTTAAATATTTAAATTAAAATTATTTTTTTACATTTTCTTTAATTTTTTCCTCAATTAATTGCTGTAATTCTTCTTTTAAAATTTTCATTTCATTCTCTAAACATTCATTTTTCTCTTCAATTATTTTCTTCTCATTTTCATTTCTTCCCTTTTCTTCCAAAAATTTATTTTCAATTTCTTTTATTTTATCATCAATTAATTGTTTAAATGTTTGTTTTAATTCTTTTATTTCGTTCTCATGATCAGCATTTATTTTGTGAATTTTCTAAAATTAAATTAAATTCTAATTTACCCATAAATACATTATTTTTTAATTCATTATTTAATAATTTAAATGTTCATACACTTCTCTCAAAAAATAAATTTTAGCAAAACCTACCTTATTAATTTCATTCTCTAAAGACGAATTTTTCTCTTCAAGTTTAGTAACAAACTTTTCTTTTTCTCCCATAAACTAAAATTAAATTTATTTCAATTTATTTTAAAATATTTTTAAGGGGATTCGTTTAGGGTATCTCATTTATTTGAGACTATATAACCAAGTAGTCACTGAAAATTTAAAATCTCGATTTCTACGCTAATTTTTTACTTTCAATTCAACTCGTTAAGCTCTTTTGTCTAAAAAAGGATCCAGAAATTAGGGCAGGCCAAATGGCAACACTCCAACTAACCACCTCCATTGAATTAATTAAAATATAAATAAACCCCCCAGACCTGATTAATTTCTTTTGTCAAAATCTTCATGTCATTTTGAACATTAATATTCTTCTCTTCAAGTGAAGAAGTCTTTTTCATTTCTTCCATAAATTTAAATTGAATATTGTTAAAATTCGATTGAAGTTGTATAATGTTATCATTTTGTTTGAGTACAAAATGCTGGAATTTTAAAAATTAATTTTATTTAAATTAAAGTTAAATTTACAAGTGGGTCAAACTCAGAAGTTGAAGATTCTTCTTCAGTCATTTTCAGAATTTAATTTTAATTTCTCTAAAAATCAGAATTTTTTATTAAATTAAATCAGGTTATGGAAAGACAAGGATATTTTTAATAAAAAATATAATTTTAAATAATTTTTAAATAAAAAATAAATAAATTGTAGAAAGAACATCAAAAGAACTTCAACTTAATAAAGAAAAATATTTGAATGTTTTGAATAGAACTTTATCAAGTCTACCTATTAAAAGTATTTTTATTTAGGCATTCATTTGCTTTAAGTATATTTTCCTAACTAATAAATATATTTTTCATTATGTAGCATCAGAAAAAAATTTTTGTGAGAATATGTTTTGGAGGAATATTTTAAATATTTAATCAAAGATACTGTTATATGTAGATACTGTTATTGTTATTTTAATTAAAAAAATAAAACCAGAAATTCTGAAATATAAAAATAAAATAAACAAAGGTTTTTAAATAATTAAAAAAAACAATTATTTATTTAACAATAAAATGTTTGATTCAATTATTTATTTATTTTTGTATATCATTTAGTTATGTTGCAAAATATTAATTTTCTAATCAATCATTTAACGGTCCAAATTGATTTTACGAGGTCATTTGAAGATGATATGAAGAATAAAAATATTAATATTGCGCAAACATTCCCTCTAACCATTTAATAAATATCAAAATAATCAAAATAATTATTTATTCTATTTATGTTTTTATCCCAAAAATCCTTTTCCTTTTTCCCCTCTTCCACTTTTTCTTCTTCTTCCTCCTCCTCTTCATCCCCTACTACTTCCTCTTCCTTTCCTTCACCTTCATTATTTTATCCTTTAAAATTAATTTATTTAATTAAATTTAAACAAATAATTATTTTAACTATTTTACCCCCTTTTTTTGGTATTTTAATTGTTTTTGCTATAGCTATATTATTCCATTCTGAACAAATTTTTGGTTATGAATGGACTTGTGGGGTAAGTAAAATAAAAGGGTCCCCCAGAAAGCAACTCTAAATATTTGGGCGTATAAAGGGTTTTGCGGATTAGGAAACAGTTGTGGGGATTAGAGGGGATTTAAAAGCATTTGAGCGGATTAAGAGGGATTTGTTGGAATTAAGGGGGTTTCTCGTTCAACTGTCGATAAGGCAAAAGAGAGCAGGCCAACGTATTCTTGATCCTAGGTTCCCTTTATCTA